CTGATGAGGAAAAACAAGTATTTGACCCCCTACCAAACAGCAAGTATTCTGGCTCCTACAAGCCAGTTAGTCTTTCTTTAAGACACAGCCCCAATCCCAACCAATTATCTACATCAAATACACCTGCCTCACCTCGTTACCTGTATAAAAGACACCTGTCAACACCCAAACAACCAGCATCCAACATCACCACCATGGGCAAGACCAAAGAGCTTTCTACGGACATCAGGGACAAGATTGTTGATCTGCACAAGGCTGGGATGGGCTACAAGAGAATCGGAAAGCAACTTGGAGAGAAAAGATCAACTGTCGGTGCAGTTATCAGGAAATGGAAGAAGCACCACACCACCGCCAACCTCCCTCGGTCTGGGCCTCCACACAAGATCTCGCCTCGTGGGGTGTCCCTGATCATGCGAACGGTGAGGAATCATCCCAAAAACACAAGGGGGAACTGATGAATCAACTGAAGGCAGCTGGGACCACAGTTACAAAAGAAACGGTTGGTAACACACTACGCCGTCATGGATTGAAATCCTGCAGCGCACGCAAGGTCCCCCTGCTCAAGAAGAAACATGTACAGGCCCGCATGAAGTTCGCCATTCACCACCTGGACGATTCAGAAGAGGCCTGGAAGAAGGTGATGTGGTCAGATGAGACCAAAATAGAACTTTTTGGCCTCAACTCAACTCGTCGTGTTTGGAGGGCAAAGAACACTGAGTACAACCCAAAGAACACCATCCCCACCGTCAAGCATGGTGGTGGCAACATCATGCTTTGGGGGTGCTTTTCAGCCAAGGGGACGGGACAACTCCATCGTATTGAGGGGAGGATGGACGGGGCCATGTATCGTGGAATTCTGGACCAACATCTCCTCCTTCCCTCAGTGAGAGAGCTGAAGATGGGTCGAGGATGGGTGTTTCAGCACGACAACGACCCTAAGCACACCGCCAAAGCAACAAAAGAGTGGCTGAAGAAGAAGCACATCAAGGTTCTGGAGTGGCCTAGCCAGTCTCCAGACCTGAATCCAATTGAAAATCTTTGGAGGGAGCTTAAAATTCGAGTTGCCAGGCGACAACCTCGGAACCTGAATGATTTGGAGTGTCCACAATGTGCACAAACCTTGTCACCAACTATAAAAACCGTTTGACATATGTGCTGGCCAATAATGGCTTTTCTACAAAATATTAACATGCTGTTTGTCCAGGGGGTCAAATACTTGTTTTTCCTCATCAGATGGTTATCAATTTTTATAAATTCATATGATGTGATTTTCTGGAATTTTCTTTGGGATTCTGTCTTTCACTGTTAGAATGTACATATGATTAAAATTATAGATCGTTGCATTCTTTGTAAGTGGGCAAACCTGCAAAATCAGCAAGGGGTCAAATACTTATTTCCCCCACTGTATATAATATATACATTGGCAATTTGTCCTCTCTCTCGCCAATGTATATATTATATACTGTATATGTCATTGGTGGCTGAGCGCAGTATTAGGTGTAGACCCAAATGCAGACAATACGTGATGAAGGTGAAGTTTAAAATATTTATTACAGTTTTTCTCAATTGCTTAAACACTATAACCAGGCTTTTCAATAAAATTTCAAAACCATTTTCAAAAAGCACACCCATTTCCCTAAACTCTAGACACAAATCCCTTAATTTCCAATTGCCTACACCACGTGGTCATTGAGAAAGCACTGACATTCAATATTGTTCACAGCTACCAAGGTAAAACACAAACAGTCAAAATTGATAACACACCAATCAGAAGCTTCAATAGACAGATAAAAGGGCCAGAATCAGTTCATTTAGTTTTGGAACAATGGATCCAGAGAAGGAGGAGAAGAAGGACGATGAGGAGGAGGAAAAAGAGCAGTATGGAGAGGAGTAAGAGGTGAAGAAAGAGGAACAGTTGGAGTTGGATAGGAGCAAGATGAGGAGGAGGAGGAGTAGTAGGTAGAGGAGGAGGGAAACAGAGGAGGAGATTGAGAACAAGAATCTCTGGCCTGTCCAAGACCAAACGCTGTGGCAGAATAATTTGTTGGGTGTGTTGTACTGTATAGCACACAAAGGAATAAAACGTGTGTATTTCTTATGTTGTGTTCATCATGTGAAAAGGTTTTTGAGGGGATGACCCACAAGCAACATTACTAAAAAACAGTTTTTGTAGTATTGTTTTGAATTTATCTCACCAGTGTAAGACTGTGTTGTAGTGTGTGTGTTTTTGAGGGCTTGTGTGTTATGTCTGAGGGCAAAGTTTGGTTTTTCAGCAAGATTGAATGGTTTTGAGTGAAGAGCTTGATTTTGACCTGAAAATAGGACGTTTGGGGAATTGGGTGAGAAGTTGTGGATTTGTGTTTAGAGTTTCGAGAAAAAGAGGCATAGTTTCAAGAAATGTGTTTAAGCAATCGAGAAAAACTGTAACTCAAAAACCAAACTGAAACAAGCTTACGTGGGAGTACAAGGTAAAGTCCAAAACTGAGGAAAATCCAACAAGCAAAAATAATCCAGCGCACAGGCAGAGTAATCCAAAGACAACGGTAGGACGGAACACTCAGTATCAGACAAGAACGTCACACAAACTGAACAGAACAAGCAAACATTTAAACACTAATTAACGAGCAGGGCGGGACCAAGACCAGGTGGAGGACATGAGGTAATTAGACACAGAGTGCTTTTCCGAAACTAAACCCTCGCCACTTCCACTCCGTCACGGATTGAACTCTGGTGGGAGTCACCCTCACAGCCAAATCGAGTTCCCTTAATTAACGCGGAGGGTATAAAACTGCAGCCACTTTCGGATGAACTTCCCTCTCACTAGCGGAGTTAGGATTTGATGCAACAGTACGTCAGTATGATTTCCAAACAGCATCTGGCAGGAGCAGCAACAGCGGCTGTAATCCACCAATGTTGGAAAATGAAAAACTGCGGTCCACGAGACGACAAATACGTTTGAGACGCCTTTTGGCGTTGATACGGCAGCAAAAGGTAGGCTAGTGTCTTTTTGTCTTCATCTTTCAAACGGTTATTAAGTAGGCTGTATGACTTTTGTGTTTTTAAGTCATATTAATTATCAGAAGCACCTGTCAGTCTTGTGAGCCGAGTTCTCTGTTGTGGCATTTCAGGCCACTGTCAGTTATAAGTACTTGGAAGCTATTAGTTATCTTTTAGTGACCTTTAACAAATATATTCCATAGCATATTATGTTGGCTGACTCATTAAATGACAAAGTAAGTAGGCTACTTAAAGAGGTTCCATTGGAAATGCACTAGTCTACACCACTTGTCATGGGTGACAATTACAGGTTGCTTGGAGTAATTTCTCTACTGCGTAAAATATTTTTCACCATGATGGCTAAGATCACGATAATATTGTTGAAGGATGTGAGAGCAGCAAATTTTAGAGGATTATGCATATCACATTGACTTAATCAGAATGAAAGAACTTTATTGCCAAGAAGTATTTTACAGATACGAGGAATTTTCTTTGGTGATTAGGTGCTAAACAGACACACAGTACACATACAGTTGACATAAATAGATTTAAAAATACATAAATGTGTATATATAAATAAGTGTCCAAATGCACAATTTGTCAATAAAATAACGTTGTGTGCCCCCCCCCCCCCCCCCCCCCATAGGAAACCAGGTGTCGGTACATTTGAATTCAGCCACCCCAATTATGGCATTCTATGGAAACCTATGTGCCTGAGGAGGGATTTTCGGGTCATCAGAATAACTATGCGGAACCTTATGCACCTAATAGCCTCTCCACAAGATCACGGTTGGAGCCAGGAGATGGAGGTGCTTGTGTTCATGTACAGCTTGGCCCATGGACTGTCCCTGTCTGCGGTGGCATTGGCATTTGGGATCCCCAAAAGCACACGACATGATCCGCAGGGTGAGCAATAGAATAAAGGCCAAGCTGTCAGTTTTAATCTCCTTACCATCAGCACAAGAAATTCCTGCCATCACACAGGGATTCTGCAATCTTGCTGAGAGTTTTGCACTTGACCATGTCGCTGGAGCCATAGATGGATGCCACATCAGAATTCAAGCCCCAGGGAACCAACACCAAACTGACTACATAAACTATAAGTTGTTCCCCTCCATACAGATGCAGGCCATCTGTGATGCTAGGGCCAGATTCTTGGATGTCTTTGTGGGCTTTCCAGGCTCCGTCCACGATGCCAGGGTTCTTTTGCCAGGCCCTGTACCAGCTGGTTATTACCTATTAGGAGATGGAGCATACACGTGCCTGGAGAGCCTCATAGACATTCTGACACCATACAAACAACCACTGCGAGGCCGTGTCCAGGAGAGATTTAACACCCATCATGCCAGGGCTCATTTCGTTGTGGAACGAGCTTTTGGCATGATGAAGTCACGCCGGCGAGCCACTCTGTCCAAAGCCTTGGAGGTGAGTCCCACCTTCGCCCCAGACCTAATCACCTGCTGTGCATTCCTGCATAATTTGTGCATCAGCATGGATGATGAGCTGGAAGAACTGGATGAGGTGCCCAATGCTGCAGACCCACAGATTTCTCCCCCTGTTGGAGGACAAGAAAGGCCTGGAAATCACATAAGGGACACAATTGCTGCTCGTCTCTCTGCCCCAATCAGGGTGTCACAACATTTAAACGCACATGACTATTTGTAATGTTTGCACACATTATTTTTGGTCATTGAGGATGTTATCTTATTTGTTCTATTATGTGAAACATCTTTAGATATACATGTTAGTTGTGAGCATTTCTCATTTCAAATAAAAATAAAGTCTTTACCACAAATTAAAACAAGCTGGCGCCATACACCTGTTTGTGGCATTCATTCAGAAGTACATCATTTCACCAAGGGGTCTCTCTAATTGTTGCACTGTGAAGTCACAATATCCTGCCCCGTCTATATGTAGGGGCCTTGAAACAAAAGTGAAATCACTACTTATGTAATGCTTGCCAAACCCTTTACAATCATTGCTTAACTTTTTAAACCATACCAGTAGATAATCCTCCAGATTAGTCTTCTAAAAAGGAGCAATTTCTCAAACAGCATTGTAACCAAATTGACTGCCATTCAAATGTCAGACCAACACTTGTTGCATGCAGAGAGCCTCATGTGCATTCAGAGAATTAATCTATATTCAGCATATTTGTGCACAACGAATGCTTCACCTCTGACACCATAATGTTTTTAACCATCTTTACAACAAGTAATGTAATGCAGGTCTTAAATTTTCAAATTACCAAAAAAATCATGCCTTCAAAACTCTATTATGTAACATAACAAGCACACAAAAAACAGATCAGCTGGGGCTGGAAGAGGGGCCTGGTAGTAAAGTGGGGTCGGACATGCATGAGGCAATGAGGACTGGTGGGTTAACAGATGGCTTGCTCTCCATTTCCTCATGCATGTCCAGGTAGAAAGCCCACATAGCTGGGGTTTCCTCACCCTGGTCAGTCCCTGACCCTGTGGGAGGCCTTCTTAGTTCCTAGTAGAAATGTTTGTTAGACATGTCACTGCAGTATTTAAGATAGATAATATTGTGTTCATATTGGTATCACAATTTCACCTTGTATTTTTCTTTAGGTTCTCTCACTTCTTTGCTGTCTGCATTGCAGACACCTGGTCCACAAGCTGGAGGTCTTTGACAATGAACCTGAATAGCAGAATATTAGAATGATGAGAAATTATTTTACCATTCTGAAGAAACATCTTTGCCAGTGTGGTCAGTGAAGTGACAGGTTACATTCATGTTCTGTTTTTTCTTTTTCTTATTAGCTCCTAAGACATGTAAACACAGGCTGTACCATATTAGGATAAATCCAGGTAGACAAACGCAATTTCAAGTTATTGAGAGTTAAAGTTTAATCACTCCCTGCTATCATACTTGTATCAAACAAGCAACAGTTGCACATTTTTTTATTGAACACAATATAACCTTCAGGCTACATTGTTAACCTGTGTATGGAAATGTTAGTGTACTTTTGGGATTAAAACATCCTACATGTTTTCAGGCATAGTCACACGGAAACTCACATTTGAAAGAAGGTTCCTCCATCATGCAGCAAAGGGTGTTACACACCTTCAACAAGCTGGCATTGGAGGGTTTTATAACCCACTCCCACTCCGCCCTCATTGGTTTCGGATGGTACTCAATGTGGTGGGCCCTCCGCATGAACGCGCAAACAGAGTGGAAGTAGGTAGGGGGAGGGAGTAGCAAGCAGTTTCGGAAAGGCCCAGACGCACAGGCAGGCAGAGTGATCACAGGGGGACCAGACAGGAACTAATAATACAAATAAACTACAACCAAACCAGGATGAAAAGAAGACAAGGTCAAAATAATACAAACAGAAGACATGAACTAAAGACACCAAACTAAAATGCAAATGAACAAAAGAATAAACAATATAATTTCTACAAATTCCACAATCAAGTTGCTACATCAAGTTGCGTTTAGTCTTTAAATACTATAAACAGTATTTTATCTTTTCATGTTAAACCCTGACTGCTCTTTCTGTACTCTTCTTCAATTCCCTTTAAAACAGTGGGTTTTAATTGCTTTATGCTGTTTCTAAAATTACATTAAAAAAGTTTTAGTATTACCAGTTCAACTAAAAGTCATTCCTTGCCACATTAATACTGAAGATTTAGTTTAGTTTTTTTAACTGACCATAAATTGAACACAATTGGGCTTACTAAGATGACTAAAAGAACTGCAGATAACTCAAGGAGAAAAACAAAGTCAAGTGTGATGGACAGAGGTAGAAAACCAGCATAAATTAGACTTCTTTTGCTGTTTCATGCTTTATATAAACCAAAAATATTCCTCACTTCCTGATTACAAAAATTATAACTTTTGGAGTAACGACTGGTTGTCAACCTCTCTTGTGCTGTATGTTATGTCTTCGGTGATTTTCCCTGTAGTTTTTATTTTTAAACCTCACTACAAGTGATATGTAACTTCATGATTGCCAGAGAATAAAATTTAAATTTTATTTTTCTATTCTTTTAGGGATCAGAGCTCATTCAGCTGCCAGGGAAGTGCTGCCCAGAGTGTTCCTCTCTGAAACCCTCCTGTTTGTACGAGGAGAAATCCTACAAGGTACTTCTATATTGGAACTCGATTTTACTTTGAGTGTGTTTGCACATAAACATGAGAGGAAAACTGCAAAATCAGGCAAGAAACCCAAACTGTGTGGGAGACACAAAGACACCACAGGGCTTCTGTAAACTCTCTATTCTCAGAAGGAGAAAGAAAGCAAGTGGCATAAAGTCTCACTGCAGAGGAGGCTGCTAAACAAACAACCAAATACATCAATATTACTTTGGATATAAATATATAAATACAAACTGTAAACACTGAGAATTAAATTTGCAGTGAGGCAGAGTAAATGTGTGTTTTAGGACATAGCTATCAGATTACTTTAGGCTGTCTAGCCTGTAACAAGAATCTTTGTCTTATTATTCTGGCATCAGCTTCATTATTCATAGACTAGTCCTGGAAACCCAGAACGCAAAGGCTTTAATTTTTTACATTATCAGCCAGAGGGGAATGCTCATGAAATGCTGTAGGACACAGCCAAGGCCGAGGCTCGGAGCTAGTGTAGAGAGAGCTATCATCCTTTTCAAATTGATTTTTCTTTTTTCCTCCCTGAGGAATTCTTCTCACCAGTAGTAAACAAAGATAGATACTGCATACTTACCACACACCTACATGCAGTTTTCACTTGTTTATTTCAAAAATTGAATGTCCCAAATGGGAAAAACGTAATAAAATATTTTTTAACAGAAATGATCAAATTTGAATTTTTAAATTTAAAAAAAAAAAGTAAATACGAGTGAGAATTTACAAGAAACATGCTAATGGTAAGAATTTAGTATTAATATGGATAGATGAATGGGTTGGAGATGTACTTTCTACTTTCTATAACAGGTCAGTGAGATTCTATATATTGTCTGGCAACATGGTAGCTAATGAGGGAACAGTGGTTGTTCCTGTAAACTGACTTTATGGTCTTCAAGTGTTACACAACCGTACAGGTTACCGGTTGCACCTGTTGTGATAACAGACGCTGAAGGCTGCAGATTTCTGTTCTCAGTTGCTCAGGGCTGCAGGTTTTGTGCTCCTTAGATAACATCCTTGGATACAAGTGGTTTGTGAATAGATTTCCTGCTGTAAAATCAAGCTCGAGACGCTTGTCAGTGTTTGCCAATCAGAAAGGTTTTCTGATCTTAAGTGCCTGTCCTTGTCTGTGAGCTTTGACCTGCCAGATAGTTTGGAAAAAACAATTAACTTACTACAAGGTAAATCAGTTTTTTTTGTGACTGAGGTTCCTGCTGTGTGACTGACTATCTGTCCTCAGTGGGCCTCCGTCACTTCACTTATTCTGCTTTGAAAATGTATATAAAAGTCAGGACTGTCAGGCTTCTTTTTTATTGACACAAGCAGCTTATTAGCATTCAGTTTAGTGTCTGGTCTGTGTGGCATCCTTCTTAATTGTGATTCAGCTTCCTCAAAGTTAAAATCCTTTGCTGTTGGGTGTTTACCCCAGTCACACTTTGCGCATTACTACAACTTTAGCTTCACTAGATTCACTAGATCCAATAAACTAATTTCCCTGTCTCTCCTCTGCCTCACTTATTTTTTTTAGGACCTGGCTAGGTGGACTGATAGCAGTTGCCGGGAGTGTGAATGCCGTGATGCCCAGGTGACTTGTTATCTGCGCTCCTGCCCCACCTGCCCGCCGGGCACCCTGGTCATAACCCATGAGGGCCAATGCTGCCCTGAGTGTCGCCAAGGTACGTTGCTGCAAAAGATGCCGTGTGCTACTGTGGTGTGTGTGTGTGTGTGTGTGTGTCAGGACATGTGCTTTGTGTCTGGTCACTTCTGTCTCTCTGACCGCACACACATCATGAAGGATTCACTGTGGGTGTCTGTAGGTGAGGTTGGCAGGTAGAGGTTTCTGCTTCATTTTACATACACCAGTTTTTATAGTTCAGTTCTTTTTGTTATTCATGTAAACTGCATGGATAAAAGATTCTCTGAAAGCTGAAGGTGTTCGGCTTTAAGACGTAGCCATCTTGTAGCCTCGCAGACTGTTAAATATGATATTCAGTGCATTCCAAGTTAGTTACTTTTTAATTGTGTGCATATTCTTTCCTACATTTACCTCAAAGCCTTTTGACAGTCCACTGAACATGTAGTGTTTAAAGGAATAGGAATATAAATAACTACAGAAAAAGTACATCAAGTGAATCGCATTGCTTTTTGTGTCTGCATTGCATTTTGGTGTATTTTCTGTGGATGTATAAACTGACTGCCTTTTCTTTAATTGATTTCTCCCTGCATGCAATATTGTCCATCGGGATTCATTAAAAAAGAAATACACACCACCACACATGTTGAAAAGAGTAAGAAATGCTTCACAAACAGCTGCGTTTTGTTTCAGTCAGGGTATTTTGCACAGTGTTGTCCCTTTAAAACTTGGCTGGTCATTTGAATCTGCTGAATGATGGGAAAATTAGGGAGCTGCAAGTAAATCAGAAACATACATCCTCCTCCTTAAACAGCTACTGTTACAATGTTTTCCTCAATGAGGCACTTCACTTCAACATTTTTCTGTGTTGAAGAAGATTCGACTGTACTGCCCAGGTATGAATGGCTGTAGCCTTTTTTTGATGTCTCTTGCTTTCGACTTTTATTGTGAAGCACTTTGCAACATTTGCTACTGGCATATAAATAAACTTTATTTACGTGCTAAAAATACTGCATATGTAAATGAGATACTGGTTGGATAATTAAAAAAGAGAGTGTGAGAGAGGCTCATAAACAGAGAGAGAGAGAGAGTTTATAGAAATGCAGGGCAGTCAGAGGACAAAATCCAGATTGTCCTTGGGATGTGGGCCGTGCTGGCCAAGCTGCTCTGTATGTTTCAGCATGCCATCGCCTGAGGAGACTAGAACAGTCACACAGAGTCAATATAAAGTATCTGCAGTCAACCATGCTTTTATCTTTTTTTATATGGTACTGTTAATTTAACATGCTTTTTGTCTCCGTAATGCCCTTTGTCATATTTACATTCAGTTCTACACATTAATGTCAACATCAAAATTCAAACTCTGTTTAAAAAGCAGGAAGTGGTGGTGTGCTTTGCATTTCTGGGTATATTTTGTAGTTTGATGCGTATTTTTCAAACAAAGAAAGCATCATTTCAAGTTGAGATATTTCCTGTGCCGTTTTAAAAGAGTGGTACAATAGTTAGAAAAATGTGAAAACTTTCTGAACACAGTGCTGCTCCTCGCCTCCCTGGGGCCTTAAAGTTATGTGGAATAAAAAATGACTCTCCCTTTGTTGGCCAATTTTTCATGGCAGAATATACCTATTTAACAATTAATGAGGACAAAAAAAGCATTTACAATGATACGGTGTAACTTGAATAGTGACCTCAGGTGCAAATAAAAATTCCAACCAGGAATTTTTTGTAATGATCTTTCCCTTCAACCTGTTTCAACATGAAATACAGCAAGTCAAAAAAGGAAATTACTCAAAGATATTAAATTATGGCTTTAAGGTAATTTCCGTCTGTAAGCCACACAGTCACATTACATTACTTGTGTTCCAGCTCCCCATTTAAAAGAAAGGCTAATCCATCTGTCTTATTGACTGAAAATGAATATACAGACTGCCAGCAATTATAACTAAACAAATGTATGTTCATTTCTCATATAGACAAATACCACAACAGGCAATTAAACAGTGGGAAAACATTATCAAGATTTATGAACTCTTATAATTAAGTTTGGCTGTTTGAATGAATAATTACAGTTAAGCAAGGGATTTTTTTCATTGCACCATACAAATGGAATGTTTGAGAAGACAATAGTTTCATGAGATTGGATTGGATGAAGTTGTTTTCTTCACATTTAGCTTGTGTGTGTTCTGTGTCCCTGGACAGTCCTCTTGCTCTCTTGGTTTCTCCAAAGTAGCATATAAAATGTCTAAAACCTAAAAAATACCGTATATTTTCAGGCAAATACACAATCTAATTAGTCCAAGTAAACAACAGGGGAAACATAAAATGTAATATCCAGAAGTAGCCAGTTGTTTTTGTGCATCTGGTGGCCTAGTGTGCTCAGCAGAAAAACTGATTTCTTCTAAAAATTATGTTTAATTCAATAGATTAACAAAACTTACATTGGTTATTAAAAATGCTAATTAGTATCTGTGTCCCAGGCCAATAAAGCCCCTTCGAATTGAATTGAATTGATATGCACCAGCTTGTACAGTCGCTTTGTTATTCTATTCTCTTAGTTTCCAACAGCATCATTAATGCAGGTGTTTTGTAATGGTGATGGTAGTTTAATGGCAGTGTTGAGTTCCAAAGCAACATTTCATGTAGTGCAGCTTAAAGTAAGAGCGTGGAGGTGTGGATGGTGAGCTTTTTATCTCCTGTAATGCTAGAAGTCAACATTCCTAATATTTAACCATGATAACAATGTTTCCCTCTCCGTAACCAAGTGGTTTTAGGCATCATGCATAGGTAAATGAGGAAATCAAGTTTTAGCATTTGTGAAGGCAAATGTTTTGCAAAAGACCTCCAGGACAAAAACAGTTTGGTTTCATGTGGTGACCTAAAAAAGTGCTGCATCATTTGTTACGTCACAGTCCATGGCAATATTATCAATATTTTAGCATTAGATACTGTCTTCATCAGTGGAAAGGTGAAAGCTAACCTACTAAAATATACTAAAATATATATTGAAATACATTCACACAAGCACTGTATTTATTTTAACCTTTATACTGACTATGATCCCAATAGACTCCCATGTTAAACTTTACAGCAGAAAGGAACATATTACAGCCTGGTACAAAAACGGTTTTGGTCTCTATAGCTAGTAATAGTGAATTTTTATACTGTACCTTCATCTTTTATAATCTTAACTTTACCCTAGAGGCCTGTGGAAAAAAGCCGTGCCTGAAGTATTAGCTGATGGGCTCCTAATTAACAGTACTGAGTGAAGATGAAGCATGAAATGGAAAAGCCTTCACTTAGACTTATTTGTCTCAAAATATTCATTTGTGAGAACTGCAAGGTAAAACACCTTGGGTGCTTTTCAATTAATCTTTTTATTTTCCATCTTTCCGTCGGCAAGTTTAAGAATCTTTTCCCAAACTCTTTGCAGAATAATTCATGCCATCCATTACACCTCTCAGTTCACCATCTGACTTTTATTTCACTCTGTATTTTTTCTCACAGTTTGCCTCTCCTCTTTCTTTATCAGCCTGCAATCCTCTCTTAATGTCTCCTTATATACTACACACTGTACAGTGCGCATGTAGAAATTAGTGTTGGAGAGAAATTAGTGTTGGAATAGAAACTCTCTCTATACGTTCTGTACATCCTGTACATGTGTTAGTGTTAATAAGTGTGTGTTATAGAGGAGTTAAAGTGTGATTCTATATTACGGTTTTTTGTTGCTAAAACACTAAACCCCATTCTCTGAACCAAATACTCAATGGCCTAAATCCATTTGTCGAATCGCTTGCTCTTTTGGCAAACCCTTAAACAAGTTCAGGAAGTTTTTTGCAAATCTCATCCAGTCTTTTTGCAAAACTCTAAATACATTCTCACTCACTAAAACACATTTTGCACTGTGATGCACTTGTGTTGCAAAATGGTAAATACATGCGGCAAAAGTAAATCACAGCTACAACACAGCTGTCATCTTTTACACACAGCAAATCATAATTGTGCACACTTGTTTCTAAGGATGTGATCAAATCAATATGTGGTCAAGTCCCTGGCCAGCGTGGTGGCACCCTTTGACCAAGCTCTACCGTCATTCAACCTTGGGGCCATATAACATTGAATATTTTCTTACTTTTCTGGGTGGTCTTTGGAATTTTGTGTTTGAGCGTGAGCAGCAAGATCATCAGCTGGCAGTGAATCCTATCTACGGGACAATGTCAGCTTTCACTGTGGTGTCCCGCTAAGGAAGTGGTACAACGTCAAACAGTAACCAGTGATTCATATATGTGTACCTTCAACCATACATTCCTTTACTCAGTCCAGTAGAAGAAATTTTCTCTGCCTGGTGGTGGAAGATCTATGACTGAAGTTCATTTACAGTTTTTCTCCACTGCTTAAACATTATAACCAGGCTTTTTAACTAACATTTCAAAACCATAACTCCATTTTTCAAAAAGTACACCCATTTCCCTAAACTCTAGACACAAATCCCTTCATTTCTCATTGCCTACACCACGTGGTCATTGAGAAAGAACTGATGTTCAATATTGTTCACTCAATTAGCACAGGTTGAGCTCAATTAGCACACCGCTACCCAGGTGGAAACACAAAGAGTCATAATTGATAACACACCAGTCAGAAGCTTCAGTAGATAGATAAAAGGGCCGGAGTCAGTTCATTTAGTTTTGGAACAATGGATCCCGAGAAATCTGAAGGAAGAGGTAGAGGACACCAGAGAGGAGGAAGAGGAAGGAGGAGGAGGAGGAAAAGCAGTATGGAGAGGAGTAAGAGGTGAAGGAAGAGGAACAGTAGGCGTAGGAGGTGGAGGAAGACTAGGAAGAGGCGGAGCAGGAGTAGGGCGGAGGAGGAGGTGGAGAACAAGAATCTCTGGCCTTCTGCCAGAAGAGTCAGGGGTTTTGTGAATGTAGTTTAAAGATTAGGTTTTGTCTTTAAAGTTTCAAGAAATGTCTCTTAGCAATTGTGAAAAACTGTAAGTGGTACTGGAACGATGTGTCCCTGAGTGAATAATTTGAATATATTTGTGTGATTTCTGTAATTGGACTCACATTATGACCCATTATCACCTCGCAACTTGTGTGTATTGATGTATGTGTGTGTGCAGTAATGGTTTTAACCCCCCTGCAATGCACCATAATGCATATGCATGCCTGAACATAGTGATTTAAACATGATTTACCCACTTTACTTTGCATTTACATATTTATATGAGAAACAGACACGTTTTTACTCGTTAACCATGCATTAGTCTGTCTCCCTGGCTGTGAATTGGATTTCCCAACTGTGTTTAGATTGCGGCTAAAAATAGAAAAAGGAAGAAAAAAAGATTCTCTCTTTCTCTCTTTCTTTTCCAGCTTGATCCGTAAATCTTCCTTTAAACCTATTAATCATGGCTGTCTATAGGCCCAGGGGTCAGCAGCCTCTCCTCTCATTGGGCAGTTTACACCCGAGGGCAACCAGGAGTCGTGCTGCGTTCAGGTCTCATGGGAAAGCTTGTAGATTGTTTCCATCTTACACATACAGTTCCCATCTGCCAGGGGTTGACCCAAATTTTTTTTATTATTTTGTACCAAGATATGTATAAATATACCAGTAGATCAGGGCATCTATCAAGTGTCTTGGAGTAAGTAATTATTCCTAATTGGTTAAAATATTCTTAGAGTGATGCATGTTTGGGCCTATTTTTAGGATAAAGATTAAGAAGTGTTTGATCTACTTTCTTAACCAAGGAAATGACTCCAGAGGTGTGCTAATCTGTTGGAAGTTGCAAGGAGATGGTGTTAGTCAGTGACATTATGTCGAAGAAAAAAATGTTCTGTGAACTCTTGATGAAACCGGATTTTTGTGAGCACGAAAAACAGAGTGCTAGCGACCCCCAAATATTTGCTGAATTTAACAAAAAGTCTATTTGATTAGAATAGCAAAGTATCCTCCCACCATTATGTCATCAATTTTAATAAACAAAGTTTAGATGAATTATATGGATTTGATCCTATTTGGTGCTGTATTGTCTTATGTAAAGAGCCTCATGATTGAAAATTTGGCAGCAGACAGACATGGGTGAATTACTGAATGGTGCAGTGCCTTTTTAGTGGGAATCAGAGTGTAAAATTGCATTGAATCACCAGCCAAATGTTGTAATGTAAATGTTAGCTGGTGTTGGTAAGTTGGCTTATTCTATAAGCAAATGTGGCAAGTAGCCAGTCTCAGATGGAGGTGAAGCTTGTGCTAACAGTCAAACTTGAGGGTGATTTTTTTCTCTTTTCTTTTCTAATGACACTGGGTGTCATCCCTGCCAAATGTTGACACGTCTGCAGTTTCACGCTGTGAGAAGTTTCTCATCAGGCGTTTGTAATCAGGTGGAGCTGTGCAGTTAATACTCCTGGATCCATACCTCTGGATCAGTTGTTTCCATACAGCTTTGTTGTTAATCACAGCTGCAGTTTTTAATTTTGTGCTTCAGGGATTCTGACTCGCTACGCTTGTGAGGAAATTAAAGTACAGTGTGCGAGCGTCATAGCAGCCTTCTGTAAACAACGCTTTGAATCAAAGCGTGTGATTGAGGAACCTGGGCTGTAATGTGGCTTTATCCTCAAAAGGGAAAATCCAGTTCTGGTTCCGTCACAGCTGTCAAAGCATACAAGAAATGATTTTGTAACTAGTCAGGTGGAGTTTTGTATTTAAATACACTCATTTGTTTCAACCGTTAAACAGTGTGAAAGAGCTTAGGATAGATGCAGGATGAGTGTGTGAAGGAAGACTTCCACAGCGGATCCCAGAATATATGCAAGAGATTGGTACATTACCGCTAGCTGAAGCATTGGCCACAGCTGAAGAGAGAGATAAACACTTGACTGATATTCGTATTAACCAATAAGCCCGTCAGTGGGCCAGAACACACAGTGCTAAGTATCTCAGTCTCCCTCTTTTCTCACTCGACTTCCTCCTTCTTACACTGTATGCACACAGTTTTTCTCTACCATCCTTTCTGTCGGCTAAAAGACAACGGGATGGTGGGATGAAAAGTAAGGTAAAAAAAAAGTGAGAATAAGTAGCAGATGGAAGGAATATGGATGGGAGGGAGAAAATGAAGCTGTAGAGGGGAAAGGAGACAAAGAGAGGTAGTTGAGTGAGGAAAAAAGAGAGATGTAGATGCTGAGAACAATATGTTCTGGCTTGCTGACAGTCTTATTTGCCATTAAGGTTAAAGTCTCACCTCTATCTTTCTCATGTTTTCTTCAACTCCTCCTTTATGCCACTTTCCCCCTCTTTTAGTGCCTCTAGTCTTCCCCTTTTATTTTTCCATCCTATTTTCCTTCTTCTCTTCCCTCTGCCCTGTTCTGCAGTCGTCACATTAATCAGATCCCTCAGTCACTTTTTTACAAGCGGTAAGCACTTTATTTACTCAACACATTCACATAATGAAAGCAGCAATCACAGTGCAATCAAGTGCAAGCAGCCCCGCATATTGTTTGACAAGAGGCTGCATGCGTTCGCTTGTTCTGCAATCCAGATACGACAGCGTTATTGCTGTCATCCTCGATTCGGTAATTTCAGATGCTGACAGGGTTTTCGAGTTGTGGGAGTTTCTGAAGTGACAATTCAATTTTTTGAGACATGTATTTCAGATTTTCAAAAGCCAGGTCATTTTCAAAAGAGCCTAGAGGATATCAGAGACTTCTACAGATGGGTCTCTGGGTCTCTGCAGGATTGTTTCTGCTTCTTCTTCTTCTTCTTTCATACATTAATTGTATTTAAGGGTTCATTTCAGATGTTTCGTTCCATAGTAAACTAGAGAAAAACAGACTGTTTACGCCTTCAGAACTCTCCTAAGTTAAAAAATGAAAAAAGAACTTTAACAAACCCCGAGGGAATAAAGTTTTTAGGTCACAAGTGCTCGGACTTAGATATGGAAAAGTTCTATTTCAATGTAGTTCAAAGGAATTGTAATTTTTTAAATTCATGTTTACTTGTTTCATTTGAATCAGCATGTAGACCTATGGATTTTCTACATGAATTACACAGATGATACTTTAAGTTAGAGAAAAGGTTGGCAGCTTTGAAATTGTTACTGTTGATTTGTTTCTGTAGGATTTTTAATAATTTTTTGTTGAGCTGTTACATCTGAAATACATCTGATGGTAACCTTTGCAAAGTTTTAGTTTCCACTGCAGTTACATAGTTTGCTTTATGTAAAGTGTTGTAATGTAATTGCAAAATAGTAGTTATTATGTGTATTTTAGCAGCAACTGTGAGTTTTTGTAGACAACCAAATGATTATCTTGTTACATTGTCAGGAGACTTTTTACAAAGAAAAAAAATGCGACTGATTCTTGTTTTAAGTGCCTTTGTTTTACACCCATTTGGCAAATAGCAAAGCCCAAGTCCGGCATCAACTGGCATTGACTTTAATTTAAGAAAGCCTGGTTGCAGACCTCTGAATCGTTGCCCACATCTCAGATTTTGTCCACAATTTACTTAAGTCACACGTTGTCCTCATTAATATTGCTATTTTCAGGACGTCTTCCTGTGCCAGAGGGGCAACATGTGTTGCAAAAATGGCAACAAGCATGGCTGAGATTGAACAGCTGTCTATTTTGTTGTAAGTACACTTTTAAGTGCAGTTGGTGGACAAACTAAAGAAACAGACTTGTTCTCATAAGTTGTTGGTAAAATATTGGACCAACTGGAAAAAAGTGTGGGCAGAGAAAGAACTTAAGAGTGTGGGACTTTTACATGTAAATGAACATTACATCCAAGACCTTGCCAACCGAATGCTTTTTGCTAATTACGCTGATCACCGCCAGATAAATCTCTCTGTATTCGCAGTTTTTAAATCTGGTGTCTGTGGCGACGGCCCTGTGCTGGCGAACCAGTAGTGATGTGTTTTATGCCAACACGCAATGACTGCCAGAGCTGAAGGGGGGAGCGACCATAGCGACAGCTGCAACTCAGTATGGCAGAGCCTTTACGTCACAAGCACGTGTCGACAGTGTTGTGTAATTACTCTCACTGTCAGAAGGGGGAGACAAAAGTTCCACACTGCAGGTTTAAACACTTCATCACAAAATGCACCAGTGGAGCTATTGGCCGACAGGAGAAGCAGAAGATTTACCCCAAAACACCCAGTAGGGCACATTGAACATACTAAAACTTCTCTACCACCACTAACGCAGTCTGACTGTAGAACCAAATGTACTGGATGGAATTTGTGAAATTTGGAATTTTTTTTACTATGTGTTTCTGTGTGCCATTTTACACAGTTAAATCTGTCTGCCTTCGCTAACTGAGTGTGCAGTGCAGAGCCAAATCTGTTTAGAGTTTGCATAAAATTAAATCTCAAAATGTGTGTGTCGCTGAGTGAGCGCAAGAGAGTGACTTCTAGTCTTCGAGTGGTCTTGCATCCAGCAACACCAGACGTATAGAATAAAATCAGCATGAAATTGAATGTTAGAATGTGTGTGTGTGTGTGTGTATCTTTCTGTTTGTAGTCATGCATATATATAACCTTTTTTCCATCCAGCATCCACATATTTACTGTAGACACAGACATATTATACTGAATTCTCTAAATTAAATCAATCTAATGTGTATTTTCCAGTCCTGTGCCATGCAGACTGCCTGTCATGTTCGGGGACTCCTGACCAATGTGAGAGCTGCAGGGACCCAAAGGCCTTCCTCCATCTTGGCCGCTGTCTGTCCGTCTGTCCAGCTGGCTACTATGCTGAAGGACGATTATGTGCAGGTAGGATAGTCTTTTGAATATATATGATATTAAAATAGCTGCTCAAAATTGCCCCTTTTTCTTGCGGTTATCTGCAGTTTTACACTACAGATTTTTCTCTGCCTGGTTGTTGGTAAAATATTGGACCAACTCGAAAAAAAGTTTGGAAATTATGTCAGTTAGAGGCTCTGAATTGCAGAATTAATTTCAGCCCTAACCCATAACACACAGAAGTCAGTACACATACTGCTGGAATCAGTGCAACTTACTTTTTCCAGCGATGGTGATGTCCATGGAGGATAAACAGAAGGCAGATATAAGACAAAAGATCAGCGTCGTGACCCACTGGAACCTCTACAGAGGCTGCTTGTGGTCTGCACACCACAGTTTGGCAATCAGGTTTAGTACCTCTCACCTACAGTAAATACCATAGTTAGCTGACCATTACCTGAACTTTCTGATGGCTGCAAAGAAAGAAAAGTTAGCATTTTTATGGAGTCAAGAGTTTCAACCATTTTCTGAATTTGAGCTGCATCTATTCCTTCAGCGTATCAATTATTGAACATCATAAAGAGGAGCTAAATTTAAGCTAACCTTTAAGCATCAGCTGCTGAAAACAGACAAAACCTTTGGCTGCACATTTGAGAAGAAACATTTGGAAGTCAAAGCAGCAACTCAGCAAGCATGCATTAAAATTTAGCACTGCAGCAGTGTCTCCATCTAGATTGATTGTCTGTGTGTAGGTGTGTGTGTCTGTATCTGTGTTGTCTATGTTTTTCTCCTCAACCATTTTTCTGTATTCGTGTTTGTTCCTTTTTCTCTGTCACGTTTGCCCGACTCCAGCCACACCACCTTGACCGGGAACTGACCCGCGACAGCAGTAATCTTCTTAGCATTTTACTGCATTGAATTCGTACCATCCCATTGACCTATTCTCCTGAGCCAGACATTTACTGCGCACAGCTATTCATGAAGTTGTAAACACCAAATGCCCAGTTGCTGTAAAGCTATCAGGCAGAGATAAAGGTATTAACTTTGAAGCCTATAGCTGCTAATGCTAGCGGCTGAATCTTTAATATCGTTTCCACACTTAGGCTCTGAATGTGTGGACTGTGTATAGATGCAGCCGTGTTATAATAGCTTTATTCAACCAGGAAAGTGCCTCACTAAAGATAAAGATCAGCAGGGTTTTCAGGCCAAGATAAAAGCAGCACAATAGATCACAAAAGTTACCAAACATATAACACAAACCAGATCAAATCTGAACATAATCAAAAATCTGCAATACCTATTTGATGAAAAAATAAAACCAATAAAATAACAACACCCAATATACCATTACAAAGAATATGAAACAGATACATGAGTAATACTACAAAACAAATACCTCAAATATATAAAAACTGATTACATTTGGATCATACTTTCTAAACCAAATGGTTGTTTGACTTCTGTTGCATATTACTTGCAAAAATGAATGATGTGCTACATGGTGCAGTGCTGTTTCCCAAATGAGTAACCAAAACTAACTTTTAAACAACACAACTGAATGATTTTAATTGCTCCTGTTTTTTATTCACAGCATCACAACAGTAGCACAGTTGAACACTACAGGTTCTGAGAAGCAGCTACACCAATCATAAGAGTTTAGCAGTCAAAACTTTTTAAAGACGTTTTTTATGTGTGTTAAAACGGAGTCCTTAATGATGTGCAGCAAACAATGTTCGTCTACTTAAAACTGCATTGCGTTAATGGCATTTTTGTACATTTAATGCCAATAAGCTAATGAACTTTTAATTAGTTAGTTGTCAGTCAAAAAGTGACAAAACATATATAGACTGATCAATAGGGTAGAGTACAGGCTGTAATTGGCAACGGCTCAAAACTTGTGTTTGCAGCTCACTCATTTCATTAATTTTACACTTTATTGAAGGATGAAAAACCTGACATAATTGTTCTTTTTAGTATTTTTTAAAATTATTTCTGAATACCCACTTTCAGATTTGTGCATTTAATTGGACTTTTGCTTCACACGGATGATGTATTTGTTTTGTCATTTAGCTACCACTCAGCAGTGCACAGGACACAGTCAGTTGGGTGTTAGTGTGATCAGTGTTTGACTGATATTTAAAGAAACCAAAAAGACCACCAGTAGTCCAGACCATGCTCGTTCTCACAATCCCGCACAGCCTAACAGTTTTTTACTCAGTGCATGTGGGTGACATGGGTTGGGGGAAAATAAAGCTGCAAGCCTGAACTCACATTGTAGATCGTCTCTTTTCATCTTTCTTGACATCTCTTTCTCCCTTTGCCTTGAGTCTGTCAATCTCCCAATCTTTTTTTCAATCTGTTTTTGCCCTCTCCCTCGTCGTCATCATCTTCATACTGATAGCGATCCTGATCTTTGTTTCCTCCATCTTCACATCTCCACTTCCTCTTCTCTGTTCTTCTTTCCTTCTGCTCTCTCTGTCTGAGTGGGTGGCTGGGAGATTTAAAGGGGATTTAGTTGCTTTTTATTCTGTAATCTTGAGATTTCTCATTAAAGAGCATGGGAAGTCTCCTTATTGCATTTTCTTCCACATTCTACATGCACTGTTTTCATTATTATGTCTGTGGAGATTGCACCAAACAAAGAACCTAGCTGCCAAAGTGAAAGATCTTTAACAGCATACAGGATGTTTTAATCAGAATATTTGGATGAAATAATGCATTTCTTATTTCTCTGTGTAAAAAATGTATTCTGCAGAACTTTCTTCGCTGCTCTACGTTTTAGAGCGATGTTCTTACCAGTTTCAGCTGTGAAATGATTAAATCAGTTAAAAAACTGATCTACTTGTGCTTTGTTTCTAACAGCACTTTGGGCCATATACATAGGTACAGGTAAACCAGATATAATTTAGTTTTAAATAGCAAAATGTTTTGTCAGCGTTTTTGATTATGAAGATGCAGAATCTTCTGCTGAGAATATTTGACTGCAATTAGTTTATTCATATTTTGTTTATCCCCTTTATGTTGATATGTGCTTAAAATGTGTGCAACATTTAAGCTGAAATATACCTTAGGTATGAATGTGAGTGTTGCTTTACTGGGTTCACAGCTATGAGAGGCCGTCCTGTAACCATCAGGGAAACTCACATAGGAAGAGAAAATTAATTTTTGAAGTGACTGACAGCTCCCCCCCCCTCTCTCTCCCCCTCTTTCCCTCTCCTCCCCCAGCCTGCCAATCATCCTGTGCCACCTGTTCCAGCAGGTGGGACTGCCAGTCCTGTGGCTCCTACCTGCCTCTGCTGAGCGCAGATAGCGGCCAGTGCCTGGCTTCCTGTCCTCCTGGTTCGTACCAGCACGACCACACACACTGTCGCCGTGAGTATCACTGGATGCCATGTGACTTAATATGCCCTCGGGATACCATTGTGGAGGTCAAAATGGTTTTCGCTGAGATTCAACCACTAACAAAGTGCACAAATGGGAAGGTAACACTAAAAAAGAAATTACGGCACAACTTTTAGTACTGAGCTCTATAGTCAAATGTTTTTCAATTCTCCATAAGCTGTATTCTATACATCAATATATGGCATCCCTCTCTTTGAAAATGAAGTGGATGCCATATTACACGGAGTTAGTTAGCCAAAGATCTGTCTTTTTTCTTTCCTGATGTCCTTTTCTTGTCCTTTCTCTTCTTACTTCTGTGATTTGTGTCTCTACATGTTTTTATTCTCTCTACTTCTATTATCTAATACCATGTCAATTCTTTTGTCTTACTCAATATCAGAACCCTCATACCGACTTATCGACTTGTTTCAGGTCTACCTCTGGGCAGTGGGGCAGAACGTCCACCCACAGTTTTTTCAAACAAGCAATTTAACAGTTGGTGCATCACAGTGTTTTGGGGGACTGTGATAAACTCTATGTGACTCGTTACGAGGCGATTGGTTCAGAATAACCTTGAGTGGATGTGCCGACTGAATATTTCACGAAGTTTCCAAATAGAGAGCGCTCTCTGGGATCCATTATTGTTCAGTATTGCTGCTTTTGTGACTTAAGTTCTAGGAAAATGCCAAAAACAGTCGTATTTGGAGGCACAGCAGCAACCAAATGTGCTCGGATATAATACATATTGAAGAATTCTTGCTTTTCATTGCATGCGTGCTGAAGTGTTGCTGCACTTTGGCTCAATCTCTCCGGCATGATTGTTTGGAAAAGTTGGTTAAACTCTACTGTCTTTTAAAGCGCATACAGAGAGTGCTTCACATATTCTGTCAATATATGTCCCTCCCCTTTCTGTTACCCCTCTTGGTCTCTGCCCACAAAGACTTTTTAAAAAGAGCGTTATGAAAACCAATTAGCGCTTGAAAATTTAAAATTAAATTGACTTGAAAATTGCTGTCTAAATTTTCATAGTTTTTGGTTTTATTGTTATTTCACTCAACTAAATCTGGGTGTGTTTTAATACCAGTACTGCTGAATTATGCTACGCTTTCTGCCTCCTTTCAATCACTTAACACCCACAGGAAAAAACTGAAAGCCTCTGCCAGGAAATAATTCCTTTAAAAAAAAACAAAAGGCTGGATTGTCAAATCCTTCTGTTATTTATTTGGAGTGTCTTGGGTCTCTGTGACAGCAATTAATTTCAAGGCTACTGAATGTTTGAAGCATAACTTGCATATTTTTAAAATGGTGAAAAGCATGTGAAGGTTTAGACATCAGGGGCTGCACAGGTAACACAGGAGCAAAACATTTACTGCTACACTACACTGCGTTCTTTTCTTAGTACTAACACACATTGTAGAAGGTATCGTTAGAGAGTAATAGGTTTCCTTGAGGTTCACTGTTCACCTGCCAACACAAGCAACATAATTCCTCTCTTGCTCCGCCACAGTTTTCTGCTCAGTGTTGCTCTGTGCTCATTTGGGTTAATGTCACGAAACACATTATTTTGTTGGGAGTCTTCGCAGATGCTACGTCGATTGTCTTCCACTTTCCAATTTCTCATACATGGAATGAGAAATTGTCACACCTGATGCTCATTATTGTTCCTGAAGCCTTTCATCTGTCATGTTGGGCCATTAACTGGCTGATATTGTGTACTCTGATCCTGGCATAAGTCTACTCCTTCTTATGGTGAACAAAATGTAACTGTGATGTAAGTGGGATTTGACTGATTGTTACAAGCATGGAAGTACTTTCTAAATTACTTAAACTTACATTTCTTGTTGTGTAAGATTTAGCAGATTGTTAGACCCAGAAGCAGACTACAGACTCAACAGGTTGTGAAATGTAAAAGATGTTTATTACAAAGGGAGCAGAGAATAGAGATGGCGTGAGCTGGGGGCAATGCTGGGGTGTTGTGGAGAGCGGCAGGCAGTGGCTGGAGTGAAAGGAGATGACAGGTTCTGTGTTGTGGTTTGCTAGTGTCTCATAGGCAAGGTAGGGTTTAGAGTGAGCTGGCAGGCAGGGGAGTGTGTTCCTGGCGCACAAGAGAGCACCTGTTAGACAGGGGAATCACAGAAGACAAGCAAGAGCAATCACGAAAGAGGCCTGACAAGACACTACTAAGGTAGTTCACTGAATAATCTAGTTATGAGTGACTGAAGAACCGGGATATACTGTATATACTGCTGCAGATGCAGATCCTGATAAGGTGTGAGTGATCAGCGGGTAGCTGGGAGCCAGGAGAGAGAGGACAGCACCCCGCCCACAAACACTCACAAAACACAAAGAGACAAACTAGACAAACTGAAGACCCAGAGTCACTGCTGTGACCGTGCCATTAAAGACCAAATGACCGGAAAAGTAAACGAGTAAAAAGTAAACTAAACAAAGTTTAAAAAGTGTAGCATACGAAGACACTTGCATTCTTGTTTTGTAACCTACCAAGAGTCTTAACAGTGGATTAAAGCAAGAAGGGAGGCTGGAAACCACTGTACAAATTGCTAATGCAGGATAAATGCACAATGAGGGCAGTCTACATTGACTGTTACTCAACCAATCCACCTCAGAGGTCTCCCAGTACTCTAAAGCCTGGACCAATAAATAAAACCGTGGCTCAGTGAGCTAAACCCCAGTGGGCATGCTAATATACTCTGAACAGTTTGGCTGAGCGCCTACATCGAGTTGGGAAGACCTGCTGTGACTCCTGGGGATGATGGGTAGTGGTAGAAAGGAGAGGTGGGGGGGAGTGAGAGAGAGGAGAGTAACCACAATGTGATTACAGTCCGGTTCTGTAGCTCAATTTCACACCTTAATGAATATTGTCAGGAGAATTGGAATTCCAGACCTCCCAGTGTACAAGCTCCTTGGACGGCCTTAAAGAGGATAGACAGCATCAGCCAATGTAGAAAGCCAGTTTTGTTCTATCCTGCCTTCATCCATTCAGCACTCTGCACTGCATATAGAGTTAGATATTGTACAAACTCTTTGTGGAAATCCCTCTTCATACATTTATGCCACTTCTGTATCGTTTTGGTGCCATATAAGCCGGTGGCATCCCTTGTAGAATTCCCCTCTCATGCATTAATCCAACATCTATCCTGCATTAATACTGCAGATATTTCATTTTCAGATGTCGCACAGTAAAAACAAATTAATACAGTGGCGGCTGTGCAAGAAGTTTCCTGTCATGCTTTCATCCTGCATCTCTCCACAACACAAACCCCTCGTGTGTCTGAGCTAACTAGTCAGCAGACCATTTCTTTTAACCTCCAACTGAGTTTAATGTGAGCAAACCCCCCTGGTATTTCCCAAGCAGTTTCTCCTGGAGACAAAGGCAAAGAGAAGGAGTGGAAAGTGGTACTCGCTATCACTGTGACTATAAATCAGTGCGTGTTTCAACATTAATGTGTTTTCATTTGGCCTATTGGGCAAGTGGGTCAGAAATCTACTTGCCTGAATCAATTAATTATTTTTTGCCTTTGATGAACGACCCAGTTTTGGCTACCTTGCTCTCAAACGTGCGGCAAACTGCGCAGTTTTGCCCACCTCCTGTAAACTCCTGTTTCCAGGATCACTGAAATGCTCGCTTGCACTGTAGCTCATCAAACTTAAGGTCCAGCACATCTGTTGCTGGATTTGTACTTGCCAACGCTTCTACATGTTGGTGTTGGGAATGGTCATATATGTCTTTGTCCTTTCTTTTTGGAAAACAGTTGTTTATGTCGTTACGGAACAATTGACAATGGACCTATTTTGTCGTTTAGGTGTGAGGACATGTTGTTTTTCCAATTGCCCCATCGGCCAAATGAGTTGCTATATTTACTACTTTGTTTTAGTACTTTTTCACTGCTTTTTCTGCTTGCCCCGGGCAATTGGGCACTCCTTATTGTTGAGCCTTACAATAGGTGCTTAGGTCGAGGCTATTAGGGTGGATTTAGCCTGAGTAAACTCCTATTCCAGCATTTGTTTATGGGGTTAAAAAGAAGGAAGGAATGAGGGAAGAGGTAGAATTCATGAGAGCTTACAGCAGTAATCAGTGTGTGAGGTGTTTGGAAGGTGCTGGAAGCATTAACGCTGGATAGTAGCATGTCTTGGCAGAGGACCAGGACCACCCAGAGTCCGGTGTGTCCCTGCAGGCCTCCGTGGGGTTTTTGTTAATGCCTCTGTCTCATGACTTTACTGCGTCTGCTTGTGCATGCTTTCAAAGTAAGCTTGTTAATAATTATGGGGGGCATTGTGCTGAAGATTTTATTCTCCCCTCCGCCACCTCCTCCTTTTTCTCTGTCCTCTCGAAACCATTTCTCTGTCCTCTGTTTTTCCTCCTGTCTCTAATGGATCTGTGAGATTCAGTTGGCTTGTTGTTGTGCAGCAACTGTGCAGACTAGATTTTGAGTAAGTCGTGAAGGGACAGAGCAAAAAAAGTAAAGGAAACATAAGAAGGGTCTGTTTTCAGTGTAGAATATATCATGTCCAATATGTCCCATTGTTACTAATCTTTTCTTTTTAACACACACTGGTTATCCTCTCTCATTTAGGCTTTGAGATAAACACACACATCTATACTATTCAGGTGCTGAGTCCAAAAAGCAGTGATTTCTATCTCCCAAAGGGCTTGTAACACTGTTATCTGCTCCCTCTAAAACGAGTTCTTTATTACTTAATTTTGAAGCCAAATTAGCTTTTCATCAGGTACAACAAAACCATGTAATAAAGAAGACATTTTAACAGGAGCAGATAAAAGTGTTACGAACCCTTTGGGAGATAGAAATCACAGAAACATACATGCGGTCATAACGTAAATGTGGATGAAGAAAAGCGTTCATGTACAGTTCAACATAAGCCATTGGAGTGTTTTTTTTTTTTATCAATATAGTGACTATGTTACTGTTCAACTTGTAAGAGAGCAGCTGACATCACTTTAACTTTCCTTT